AACCCCACTAACTGCATGTCTAACTATGGGATGAAGCCAGAGTACTCACAGAGAACACACACACACGCACTAATACACTCACACACACACACACACACACACACACACACACACACACACACACTCATACTCCGATGGATGCATTGGAGAGCAATTTGGGGTTAGTATCTTGCCCAAGGATAGGTGAAAGCAGATGGGTTTAGGCACTCACAGCTATGCAAGGAATTGGTTAAAATCTCAAATTTAAAAAATAAAAAAAAATTGTCTTGTAGCAGAAACTACTTTCTACATTAGTGATGGGCACTTAATGGACTGTACTGTAAATATGATGTGAAAAGGGAACTAAAGTAGTTGTTGAGGTTTTACATCAACTTCTTTAAGAGAATCTACAATGTCGTGATACACAAGCATTAGCATTAACGGCACACGTTTGTTTTTATGGTTGGGTGTTGAATAGCACAGTGCTGTTCAAAAGGTTGTTAGCCTTTAGAACTCTGGGTCTTCCTTCCCTGTCATGCTAAAGCCAGGACACGGCACACAAGGTCTGAAACCCAGATCTGTTTCATAACAAACAGCAGCTATATACAGGTCAAACCTCAAAAGCAGTTCCAGTTAAACCTTAACCACAAATGGTGACAAGTGAAAGAGAGCTGTACACTGGAAAGAGTAACTGGTTAAATGGGTGCAGGCCGTGTAACTAAACTCTAAGCAAACAGCAGGTCGGGGGAGACAAAGATTGTGCATCTCTAGTTGCTGTACTTCCAAAGGAAAGGTTTTATGAAAATAATTTAGGAGGAACTGAAACCGAAACTGGGCAGGTGCCATCTAAGGTTTTAATACCAAGGTTAAAGTCTTAGGCAGAGGTGAATAAGCCTTTCTCTGCACTTGAAACTGGATTTTAAAAAGTGAATTGTGCAATACCTGGGCTGCAGGACTTTGATGCCCTCAGCATATAAAATCATGTAATGAATGATATTTTTGCTAATGCTGGTTGAATTTACTTCAATAATTTTTTGTGATCACAGGCTCAAGTTTCAAAACTAGGGCTTCATTAACATAAAAAGTAAAAAAAAATATCACACTTTGACATAAATGTGTGTGGGTTGTTGTTGTTGTTGTTGTTTTCTGTTTTTTTTTTTCTTTTTTTTTAAAGCAGTACAGATATCATTACCAAAACAACAGCTGAAGCTGCTAATGTGCCGTCTCTTCCATTGAATCCAGACGGCTGTCATTGCAGTATTTATATAAGCAGTTATTTAAAGGGGACCTATACTATTCTTTATCGTAAATGCTGTAACACTAGTTAATTATCATATTAAACACAGTCATTTCTGAGAGCTAATAGTTCGATTGCTGTTCAAGTACTAAGACTCTTTGCAAAAAGCCAAACAAAAAAGACAACAAAAATCATTTGACTTTGAAATGGTGACACAGCCATTTCCATGTAACCATTTACTGTTAAAAATGTATGAAGAAATACTAGTGTTAAGTGAGGCTTTCTAAAGGAAAAACACTGTTGCATTGGGAGCTCCCCCTGCTGGGCAGATGCAGTAACTGTCCACGCCTGAATCTGCAGATTACCAAAAGAATGAAACTCAGGAGAATCAATTGTGATGAACCAAGGATTGTTTGTTTGAGAAATGTCAGCAGACTTTCAAAGAGTTATCAAAGTAAAGACATATATTGAACTGGTTAGCTGTTACAGAAGGATGTGTATGTTTGGATTTCAGCTGATAAGCCTGTGAAATAAAGCATAGGTTATATAAGCCATAAATGCAATGGGGTTTGTTTGTGTTTGTTTTGTGTTTTTATTAAAACACAAGCACTGCCACCCAACCTTACCCCACCTTGTGGTAATTTACTAAGTGGTACATAAAGCATAACCTTTTGATATCTGCTTTTCCCCCAGCATTTCACAAAGCCACATGTACATGCATAAGAAACTTTTCAGGCATGACACTGATTACGTCTTTTTACCTTTACAATTGCACTAATTTGTATAAATTTTATTTTGTACTGGAAAAGCAGAACCTGTGATGGAGACAACAGGACAGACTGACACAATAAAGAACACCACTCATTCTGCGCTTGGAATTGGTAAGCTTCAACGGCGTTATTATTTCTTATCTGAGATCTCATTTAATACACTGATCAGCCATAACATATTTTAGAACCACTAGCAGGTGGTGTGAATAACACTGATTATCTCTTCATCACTGCACTTGTTATGTGGCATATATTAGTGAGCAAGTAGGAACATCAAGCATCTGTGGGATGTGTGGATCAAACTTTAATCCACGCAGGCCCCACTGTGATACATCCAAAGGAAGTCTAGTAAAGTAAGGACTGCTTTGGTAGCAAAAGGAAGCAGGTGGTCATAATGGTCTGCGAGTGTCTGTGTATTATTTGTAAGTCAGTGATGCAACTTCTCGATGGACAAGCAGGGAGTCCCTTGAGGCTAAACGCTGTTTGTGAAGCAAGACGTTTTAGAAATGCTGAAGGCCACAGAGCAGACTCGCAGTGTGGATTCCCTCATTGATGTTTAGGACGGTACATTCTTTGAGATTGTTTGAAAACACTTGACTCACAAAGCAGACTTGGAATTGTTGTATTTAATGAGATGCGGTCATGTTATACCTCTTTTCAGTGAAGAAACTGAATCAGAGCACATTAAGGATTTTCTCTCCCATTTGCAGATGCTGCAGCAGACTCTACAAGAACCACAGCGGCAACAGTCGTCACTGTTTTACTGGTGACTCTTTGTACTGCAGGGTTAGTCTTACTGTATCAAAGGTAAAAACAAAATGACTTTTTGGATTGTCTTTCTATATACTCATTGTTTTGCAGTTGGCTGGTTTTAATCCATTTCAATCCTGATTGTCCTTTTTGTCTCAGGAGGCGAAGAGAGCACACCCCAGTGAACCAAGACCCAGAGGAGCTGTGCACACTGAATGCATGAGTCCTCGCCCACCTGCAGTGGACCAGTAAAAGACACTGACTTTGTTGCGGTTGCAGAGAGCTGCAGCAGTGTTTTACCAAAAGCAACATCCCACTACAGTGAAGAATAGACTCTTACCTCCACGTAGGACTGGTTGTCATCAGTGCCTGATAACCCATTTGAACTTCTGTGGACGTCATCCCAAAGAATCACAGCCATGTTAATATGGCAGTGCAAGAGGCTCAATCTGTAACTTTCATCTTAACAGCTTTCTAGCTTCACATTACCAAAAAACAACTCTATAGGAACTTTATCGTTCACATCCCTCTGGGTCAACCATTGCTCTGGTGCTATGGTGGGAAATGTTTGATTTCTATTTCTTTTATTTATTATTCAGATCTCATGAAAATACTAAAACTGATAATGAGTTACTCAGACTAAATGTTGTCTCTAGCCAGGCATTGATGCAATGTATTGCTTTGCCACAGAGATTAACTCTTGTACAAAAACTTTCCTATCTTCAGTATCAATCAGGCTAGATGGACACAAGCAGACCAAATTATTTGTTCAATTTTCTGCAGAGTATTATTTCGGCCAGTAACAACATGTCTTTTGGAGCTGCTACGCTTTCTGCTCAAACATTCAGTAATTTGTGTGGGTCCTTATTTAGACCTGGCTTTTAGCCCCTTAGAGAAACGATCACTGGCCACTTTGTTAGCTATGCCTGTTAAGTCAGGCAAGTCTGATTTGTCTGACTTAAGTACATCAAGTTTTACTTGGGTATGGAGATTGATCTTAAAGGAGAAGCTTTAAGATCTTTTTTTTTTTTAAATATATATATACACACACTCACTCACTCACTCACTATGTTTTTAAATTCTGCATTGATGAATCATGTAATCAAGGCTTTTAATTGTTTAATAAAGTATTTATTGATGGATTAGTAGTGGTATTCTCTGGTAACATATCAAATATTTTATCAACATAGAAGTAATTATAAAGTCATTAGAAAGTGATTTACAGCTTTATTTCATGGACTGACTTTCCTGGTCTTCCATATACTGTGCTTACCCTCCTTGTGAAGGGCGTTCATGAGCATCATGTGGTAGTCAATGCAGTCTTCCCTTGTGTAGATAAGCTACACAAGGGAAGACTGCAGTGCCCACTGGACCTTGTTGAGCAGTGGTTGCTTGTACTTGAAGTATAATCCTCGGACTAGTTAGTGTTGAAAAGTAATTTACATACTGCAATATTCTAATATTTCAAGTACTTTATTTTCTGGGCTGTTTTTGGTTTGGTTTTGCGTTTTTGTTTTTGTTGTTTTTAGGTAGGTGAAGTTGTGCCAGAAATTTTTGCAATCATTGTCTATTTCCCAGAATGCTCCAAACTGCAATACCGCATTCTTTCAAGAGCAGTAATTTTCTGCTTCGCTGTTGCTGACAGCTTATTTTTACCTGCTCAGTTGGCGTTACAGCCAAAATGAATGACTAACCGCATCCTTTCCAACGTGCTTATGAACTCATCTCTTCGTCCTCTTCAAGACCAAGAGAAGAGAACTGGAACATTCATCATCAGATGACCTTTCAGAGCTGAACCACCATATCGAGGACAGATAAACATGGGTAGTTAAGGAAGTCATCAAAGCAGTTTAACAAAACACTGACAATTAACAGTTAGTAGCATCCAGAAATAATTCATCTTTCTGCCTTAAAAGCACCACAGATGAAACACAAACACCTATAAAAGGAATTTCAAGGGCATCCCATAGGCCAAATATGCCCTGCTAATGAGTCTAAGCTATGAATGGTGTGTATTCTTTAGAAAAGCAGTGTGAAGTCAAAGTGAAGCCTCACCTTGAGCTATCTAGCTGAGCTATATCTTGTTTTTAGATTTTAGCTCTTAAGTCTCTAAAGAAAGGCATGTATCTGAGGTTTCACATGCTTATCTAACACACTGCTCTAATAACAGACTTAACACCGCCACAGAGCCTTGCTGCTAATTTGTTGTCATTTACTGACACCATAGACTGTGGGGGATTTTCCGGCAGAAAACAAGATAGTGAGAAGAACATCTGTGCACTCCAGTGTGATCTAAATGGTCAAAGTCTTTCTTGTAACTCAATCTTGGCCGCAGTGCTTTACCAAAGGTAAAGACGAACTTATTTTCACTTTGATCTTAATCTCTTCATCATTATTGTTTATTCTTGTTTGCCACATTTCTAAGTATCGTGAGTTTTAGTTCCCCGTTTATCAGTTTACGGTTATTTTCATGAATATTCTGCGTTAAGCTTATTTTGTATAGTCTGTTGTTGTTGTTTTCTTATTCTTTCCATTAGTTTTCTCTGTGACAGGTTTGCATGTTTCCGTCGGTCATCCCTGATTTGTTCACATTGTGTTCCCCAGCCTCATCACATTTTGTATTTATTTTCTCACTCTCTCCCTTGTCCTTTGTTGAGTTGCCCAACATACTTGTGTGCCTTCATAGTGTTTCCGCTCCTTGAGTTAGCTGTATATGTATTACTTGTGGCTTCTGGTTATTTGTTTCCCCTAGCGTTCCTTCCTGCTTTCGGACCATGTAAGCCTTTGCACTATTTAGCATTAAATACCCCCCCTCCCAGATTTTTTTTAGACTAGGACACGCTGCAGGCACAGCACAGAATCCCACTGAGTTTCATTATAGTCTTTGATGTTTATGCTGAAGCACTTGAAAGATTCACAAAGCCATCATGTCTGATAAAATGCCATATTATATGTATTATTTTCTGCGGAGAAAATGAGAATGAGAGGAGTACGTGGGTAGAAATTGATGTTCAGTATTTTCTCTTATTAGCAGGACCTTCTAAAGCAGCAACGCTGGCATCCATCTCTGTCATTGTTTTACTGGTGATTCTCTGCTCTTTGGGCATCATCGCCTTAATGTATCAAAGGTATAGGAAAATGTTTGGATAACAGCGAGCTTGCATGAATTTTGTCATGCACCCATCACGTTACAGTTAATTGTTTTTTAATCAGTCTCATTGCCATTTCTCCCTTTTGTAACTCAGGAAGTCAAAAAAGCACATCCCAGTGCAGACGCCAGATGAAGTAAAACCCATGAACCCTGGCCCATCTGAAGTGGACTTGTAGATACTGTAGTACCCTGTGGCTTTCCCACTGACTCTTACCCTCACATAGAACTGGACTCTGGTCAGATGGTGTTTGTCACAGCCTAATAACTTCCAACAACACCATTCCCAAATCATCAGGGCTATCATTTTAGTTGTTTATATAGCCTAAGAAGCTTAATAAAAAATAAAAAAATAAAAAAAGACTACTCAGTTGTTTCTGTCCTAGCAGCAGTTTGCTTCTTTTATGTAATAAAAATAAACATAATTAACTCTGTTAAGGCATAATTTTTGTTTTTTTTCGTCATGTTTCAACTTATAGTGAAGTTGTTTTACTTAATTCAGCCACTAAATTGGAGCATTCTTACTTGAGAATGATTAAGTGGTGTTTTAGTGTTTTATCTTCACTACCACCTTGTTAAAGGTACTTCATTCAATTGTTTTTACAAACTAAACTTTCCTGTATCAGATTAAAAGCCTAGAGTTTTAGTAAACCGCATCACTTCAGTTGTTATTGTAGTGTGTATTGTGATACATGGAATTAGTAAAGGAGAGAAAGAGTATGAAGATCTTCATCCTGGCAGAGATGAAGACAATCAGATATTCAAGAAAAGGAGATCTGCTAGAAGGACAGCTGTATGGGTATACAGAGGTGTTAAACCACCAAGAGAGAACTGAAAAAGGATTTTTGAAATCAGTGACATTTTGACAGTAATGAATTCAAAAGCATGGGCCTTCTTCACAGTGTGTATGCACAAAACTATGCAAGAAGGAAATTGTCAGTATTTAATTACCTGGGTTTGTTTATGCTCTGCAAACAGACTTGGAATGGGGCCAGAATCCTCTCACTCATGATGAAATAAAGTAAAAACTGTTTTGTTTTCGAAAACCATTGTTGTCGTGCCTTATGCGCAGAAATTCTCCCTTTTTGTTTATTTGTTTTAGCCGTTAATGCTGCTGTCTTAAAACATTGTTCTCCACAATACACCTCGAGCTAAATATATTTCTGTTTCCACCCATTTAACCGGCACGCCCAATGCTTTAGAGCATAGGTGGGGGAACTCCAGGCCTCAAGGGCTGGTATCCTGTAGGTTTTAGATGTGTCCTTGATCCAGCACAGCTGATTTAAATGGCTAAATGACCTCCTCAACATGTCTTGAAGTTCTCCAGAGGCCTGGTAATCAACTAATCATGTGATTGAGGTGTGTTAACCCAGGGTGAGATCTAAGACCTGCAGGACACCGGCCCTCAAAGCCTGGAGTTGCCCAGCCCTGCTTAAGAATAATTCTGAATGAACAATGAACCGTGGTAAGAAATTGTCCGATGCTCACGTTGCAAGGCGTAATTCTGCCTGTGAACCCAGCTGATACCTTAGTTCAATCCAGCTTACGTTTTATGTCAACCTTTCGCTTTACATGAATAGGCTACAAGCCCCTTTATCTTTACATCTTTATCTTTACAAGCCCCTTTATATTTATATTCTGTCCCGTGTAGAGGACACTAGGTCTTCCTTGATAACAGAATGATGTGATATGATTATGCTGTTTTGATTTTTGTGTGGATTTCTTTTTAAATGTATTTTCATTTCATGAGCACTACAACAGTTAGATGAACACATCTGAATGCTGAAACGTTTTTTAGCAAATAACTTCCCATAGTGAAGCCTTTTGATTCAAAAAAGAAGTTGAGAGCTCAGAGGGAGACATCCTAGCGTCAGAGTAGCCTGGGGGAAAGTGGCTGAAGTGTATTATGGATAGTAAGAATTATTTAAGCTGGAATTTGAAGTTGTGGGAACAAAAACATCAGGTCAGACTTCTCCAAAGGCAGCTGTCCATCCCCTGAATTTCCTCAAAGCAGTTTAAATGGGGATCCAAAAGACGCTTGCTTCCAAACTGGGAGCACTTTTAGCCTCACGTGTATAGAAGATAATGCGAGGAGAGCAGGGATCTCAAGTCTCAGATGCAAGGAAAGTAAAGGCGGTCCAAAATGGACCAAGTACCTGCTCCAGTGTATACATAAGCCTTATTTATTTATATAGTCACAAGATCAAAAATATCCAGATTCTGGTTAGCAAGAAAAACGACCTTAATGACTATGAATGAACATATTTCCACACTATTTATTCTCAAGCTAGTTAAACACTAGATGGGCCTTGGATTTATAACCCTTGATTTATAAGTAGCCAAGGAGAGGTGCTATGGCATCTATTAGAGAAAATATTTTTGTCCCCTCCAAATAATTAATATGTATCAACATTACCAAAACTAAAACTTAAATGAAAATGTATCTAACCACAGTCTGTGGTTAGATACAAAAAAGTTTGTTTAAAGAGACCATAGAAGATGGTAGATGCACATTTATTAAACAGTAGCTATATCACAGTTCACACGTCTTTGTCTATGGGAATAACTAATAGCCATGAATAGAATAGGTAATAGTCAAATTGGGGGACCCTCCAATGAAGTCTGTGTTTATATAGACTGAGATCCACTAGCTTAAGCTTTAATTGTTACAGATTTGGCAGCAGTATTTGTACATGTAGAAGTGCTGGTACCGGAGCAGTAGAAACACTACATTTGTTAAAGAAAGAGTTCATAGCAGTTGTATTAAACAGTGTAAAATAATGCAAAATATCTCGTGTACTTTCAGCTTTCATCACATTAATTCTAAATGTGCAGCAAAGTGCATGAAAGTCTTTTATACCCCACCACCGCTGTCCATGTAAGAGTGCAGAATCAATATCCCAGTATGCTCCAAACCACAGAGACAACCAGGCTTGGAGCGATATTAACACACTTCCATCTGTTATGCGATGCAGAGCAGAAGCATTTTACAGA